TCCAGGGAATGGTTTAAATGGTAGCTTTTAGGTTGCCCAGAACAGAATATAAAGCAACTGATTTCCTCATGCTGCTGGTGCTTGATACATTCCCCAGAAGATTATCAACATAAGAAGAACTCCATTTAGAGGGAATTTTGCTGATGGCCTCTAAGGATTTGTGTAGGTTATATGGAAACAAAACTTTCTTTTCTTTCAACCAATATCAGTAGATTAAATCAATTGAGAATTTACAGAATCCCTGAATTTGGGTGGCTGTAGAAAAGCAGGCAGAATCTACATGAAGCTTCCTACTTCCAGGTTCTCAATCCCTGCCAAATCACATTGGTCAGGGTCACCCATCATGTTAGGCCAAAATAAAACAATTGATGGCTTAGTGCCCAGTGTATAACCATCTCTTCTGATTAAAGGAAATATTCCTTCCTAACTACATATATATAAAGAGGAGGATGTTGTGGGAGAAAGGGGGCGGGGTGGGAAATAACATTTTGGAAGGCTTTTGTTAAGAAATAATAATTTTCAGCAGAGTAGAAAGAAAAGAACTATGGAAATCACAGCTAAATATATTTATCTCCCCACCGCTAAGACCTTCCTTTATTGTTTCTCTCTCTGTACAGATGATTTTTTTCTTGGCAGGTCCACTTAGTATAGTATTTCTGCATTGAAGAGATGCAAAAAAAAAAAGGTTTTGTTAAATCTAGTATGGCTGTGGTGGGGAGATGAACATTTCCCCAAACTTCTGTGTCTTCCCACACACAAGTCAGGCCTTGGAGGTGGTGCAAAGATGCACTGGAACGGCAGGGTGAAGGCAAGCAGGTGGCTACCCTGGCAACTTAATTAATGCTGTAGCAGTTTGGAGGAAAGAATTGGGGGGTGCTGTTCTCTTGCTTTTCTTCACTGGCTGTGACAGCCTATGTGGCTCAATTACAGGATAGAGAATGAGGATGGGGGCGTCAGAGAATTGAACCTGCTGCTGTGAATGCTGGTGGAAAGAGCTAGGGATGATTCTCTCCAGCAAGAAAAATTAAAATAGGGGAATCAGTTAAGTCAAGATTTTGTGAAAAATTGGAAGTGGGGCAAAAGAAGTGCATTATATCTGAAACATAAGCGGAGAACTGTTTGTCAGAGGATGTATCTTCAACAATATATGACAATAATGGGTGGAGTTGAAAACATGAATGGGTGGACCTAGAGATAACCCATATTTTCCCTTTTTTCTGCCATCTCTTCTTTCCATCTTTCCCATTCCCATTTCCCTTTCCCATTGCCATCCCATTCTCTCTGACTTTCTTCTTCTTCTTCTCTCTCTTCTTTCCTCCCTCTTTCGTCTTCCTCGCCAGGGAATGTTGTAAGAGGAACACATTGCTCTTGCTAAAGGTCTAAAGTAATGGCTTCCAAATTGACAGCTGACCACAAGCGACTCTAAGAGTGGCAAGTTGCTCATTTCTGACTTTGAATAGGAAGAGTAAAAGGAAGACAGAACAGAATATTTTCCTCTTATTTAGGAAGGGAAGGCGAAAGCAAAAGGAAGAATATCTTGTATGGATAAATAAGAGACATGTAGATATGCAGATGGATGCCAGATCTGGTCATTACTGGTCCCTTGGAACAAGAAAGTATAAAGCAGTGTCTTGAAGGAAGAGAAAGAAAAGTAGCAGAGGGCTTTAGGCACGCTGCTTTTGGAGTAATTCAGGAACTAATTCGGAGGAGAGTCAGGCTTCTGTATGAATTCTCATAGGGTCAGTGTGTATATGTTTTTGTGCACATATGTATGTGTTTTATGTGCTGATCCATCACATATAATTGTTTCATATTGCAGAATAAGGAAATACTTAACACAGAGTAAAACTCTGGGCGGCTTACAATATTAAATAATGTGTATACAGAATCTTCTCCCAAACTATGTTGGAAAAGTCATTGGTCCTACATTTCGTTATACATAAGATAGAATCGTTTAAATCAGAGAGTTACAAACTGTAAACAGATCCTTTGAACAAGTGCATTAATTTCAGCAATTAGCTTTAAGTATAAACCCGGATATAATTCCATTTGCTTTTAGATATAAAATCTAATCAAGACTTGGAATTAACATAGTAGCAAAAAACATGGATTATCTTGTCCAATTGTTTCATGTTCTTTCTTGCAACATTACAACTTCCCAACTTTACTTATAACAATAGGCAATGTTGGCAGCCAATGACAGTGCCATGGAGAAAATAGTGAGGTACTGTTAATTTCAATATATTTATAGGTAGGTGCTGCTGGCAAAAACAGACAAAATCATTTATTCAGGTGACACAAGGCTTTCAGGTTATGTAAAACTGTTCAAATGACAAAAAAAAGAAACCAATGATGGATACTCAAGAGTTTTTGAGACGGACTCCTTCTTATCATTGTATACTAGCTTTTTATTATATGAAGGATGTATGTCTAGTCCTGCTGAGGATTACAGTCATATAGAAAAACACTGTCAAGTGCTTGAGAGTATCTATAGAGCAACTGTTATTTTTTTTTCCATTAGGTGTTCAAGATGGTAGTATCTTTTGCCATCTTTAAGTGTTCTTTACAACAATGTTGAGATAGATTGGTCTCAGAGGCCTAAAGTTACATTCCATAGGTGTTTCATAGCTGAAAGCAGTTTTAAACCCAAGTCCTCATTATTCGCATCTCGCACCTTAAATGGTTTGTCACATAATTCTCTATTTTGTCATCGAAAAATGGTCAAAGGGTGAAGGGAAAGAATTTGAAACTGAAAGCAAACATCATCAAGGACTTATTAGGTTGATTACAGAATTGATTCATTTTTGCAATACAGTGACTAACTCTTGAAATGGACATTTAACATTAGAACCATCATTAAAAAGGTACAACAAAGAATGTTCTTCCTGTCTCAACTCAGGATGTTCAAACTGCTTCAGGAGCTTTTGATACAGTTTTACAGAGGAATTATTGAATCTCTCATTTATGCTTCTTTCTATAACTGTCTGGTTTGGTAAGCAACCAACAGGATAGGTACAGACTTCAACTAATAGTTAGGACTGCAGAAAAAACAATTAAAACCAGCCTGCTTTCTACTGAGAACCTATATATTGTATGGGTCAGAAAGAGGGCTGAGAAGATATGTAAGACCCTTCACATTCTGGCGATAAGCTATTTCAATTTCTTCCCTCAGGAAGGCACTACAAGGCATTGCATACTAAAACAACTAGACACAAGGACAGTTTTTTCCTCATGCTATCACTCTGCTAAACACCTAATTCTTACAGTGCTGTGTAATGTCTGTGTATTTATCCGTATAATATGGAGGTAGTATTATTTACCCTTATCTTTTTTACTCCCATCTTTTATTAGTATTATGATAATGTTCATTATTATCATTATTCAGTTGCTTTGCATATAGATTGAGAGCTTCTTCACCAGAGACAAATTCCTATGTGTTTAATCACACTTGGCCAAATAAAGTATTCAATTCAATTCAATATAAGAGGCTGGACTCACTCAAAAGATTAAGACACAAAATAGGTTTTAAAAAAATAAAGCTTAACATTCTAGGTAGTAGAGATTATTCTCAGAGATGCTGGACACAGAATTATAGTGTTATGTAGCCATTCAATTTTTGCACTAAGCCTACAGATTTTTCTTGCAAGAATTATTATGTCTAGTTAAAATCAAGTGAAGTGACAGAGACAGACAGTGTAGGTCCTTGCATTTTTCACCAATCTCTTGATGCATTTCTGTTGAAGTCCCAGTCACCTTAACATTTTTGCAAATACAAATTAAGCTAGTTATTTTGCTAGATCAATTTATGATGCTTTGTTTGTTTATCACATGAAACTGATATCCCTACTTACCTCTGTCAAAAAAAGGAATGGTCTTTTACAGTTTAGTAAATTACTTAATTTATACCATCCTCTTTAATTTTTCAAACTCACAAAGCAGCCTACCAGGGAAATAAAATATTATAAAAATATATTTAAAGGATGATCCTGGCATAAAAAGTTTAAACTTCACAGATGCATGATAAATTCCTCCTGGCAACGAAGTCTGTCTCCTATAAACATGAGAAAATATCTAAATATGGCTTCTGATTTGAAGTAAGAAATGAGAACTGAAACTGATCACACAAAAAGTAAAGCTGGATATCACTTCTTCATATTGCTGATGGCCTCTCTAACAATGAATTGTAACTCACCAATGTGATATCAAGGGGACTCATCTATTCTAGAAAATATTTGGCAAGAGATTTTAAGCACTCTTTGTTTTAGCTGTCACTGAGAAATTTTACCTAATCTTATCCAGGTACGTTGAAATAAATTCCTTTTCCCTTGTTTGGTGTCTAAAATGAGAGTTACTGAAATTTAACCCTATGGGTCTGTAATTTAGACATATGTTTTTGGACAGAAATACAAGGAAATTAAATTCTTCAGCATTCCCGAGTATTAAATATTTTCATTTCTAGACATTCAATCATCTGTAATTCTATCAGTTTTATCAAAAAGTTGCAGTTAATAGATTAGTTTGTGAGTGACCACTTAATGACCAAATTGCTGGTCCTAGTTGTGTTCACTAAATGAAAATGATCTGTAATCTGACAAATGATGGAAACTGCATATTGGAAATCTAATTATGGTTTGCAGCTTATCAGATGGCTACATTGATTGATCCATGATTTCCACTTTCTAGTTTTTTGTTTTTTTTATCATTGAGAAACAAACAAATTTGTTTTTTAATGGGGCTTTTAGTTTTTAATTTGGCTTTTAATGGAGCTTCTGGTTTTAAAGAGGATTATTATATTTTACTAATTTGTGTGAATCATCCAAAATCACAAATGTGAGATAGGCGGCCATACATATTGATTGAATATATAAATAAACATTATCAGAAGCATTAATTTCAATGGCCCGTGAGCCAGATTTTAAGAACCAATTCCACATTTACTAAAAATCAGAACATTTTCACATCTGTATTATTCCTTCTTATCTTTTAAAATCTACTTCCAGGTTTTTAGCACTTATTCCAATGAGGAATATGACCGCCGAAATGAAGATGTTGATCCTATGGCTGCCTCAGCAGAGTATGAACTTGAAAAAAGAGTGGAAAGGCTGGATCTCTTTCCTGTGGAACTGGAAAAAGGTAATGGGAAAAATGTGTTTGGCGATGAATTTTCCTTTTCAGAACTGATAGAAATGGGATGCTGTTTACATGAATCAAAAAAGAACAAAAGGCATTTTGATCAGATTTTCTGCAGCATGAGCCCTTCTTTTTCATTTTCTACACACATTTTAAGAATAGATCTTTGTAAGCTGGTTTGTCTATGAAAAGGATTTTATTTGTCTCTTATTTTCAACCTGCTATATATTTTGCTCATCACCTGTAACTGCTTCCCCCCAATCATTTCCTTTTATCTTCTTGCCCTCCTCCTATCTGTTATTTTCCTCTTAGGAATGGCATAGGAAGAGCAATAAGAAAATAAGCTGCTATGGCAGATATAGGCTACTTCTGTTCATAGGGCTGTAAGAGCCGTCAGCCTAATTTTTAAAAACATGTTCAGCAAGAAATCAGTTTAGATCTTTGATAGGATGTATCTGTCTTTTCCTCAGCCTGCTGCATAGGAGAAAAAGAAGAGAACAATAACAACAACAAAAGAGAACACTGGGTTTAAAATACAATATGGCTGGAATCATAACTATGCTAAACCCTAAATCAAAATGAATAAAGTTCTGTGTTCATGCAACATACTATGTCCAGAAAAAATAAGATTGTGGCATATCATGATATCCTAGTTTATATACCATGCTAAGAGAAGGCTGACTTTCCACAACAAACTGAATCACAAACTATGCATTTTCATCTATTCCCAATTTAAGCTTGTCTATAGTTTCACCCAGTGCTTGCTTCAGTCTGATCCACCAAGTGCCCTGCAACATTACCCTGAGTCCTGTATAGATAAGCTACCCATCTTTATACTAAGAATTATTATCAATTTAATATTTTTTTCTCATTAGTTTGGTCTTCTTGGTATTTAATTGTAGTCCCATTTTTGCACTGTATTCCTTTTATAACTAGAATTTGCAGTTCAATTACATTTTCAGCTATCATAATGGTGTCACCAGCATAGCACAAATTGATGGGGGGGGGGGGGTTTTCTTTCAGTTTTAAAATCTCACTGGTCTTCTTTTAATATAAGTTGTTCTTCACTTATGACTGGATGCTTAGAGACTGTTCAGAATTGCAATGAACACTCCCACCCCACAAAAAGCTAATTACAATTCAGTTTCAAAATTCTGCTGTCTCCCCCCCCCCCCCCCCCCGTGCAATCATTTGAATAAATTTTGGGCATTTACAGCACCCCACGGTCAAATGACTATGATTTATGACATCTTTACCAGAAACCAGTGTTTTATTGTGGGTTATGGCAAAAACCAACACATAGTGAACAATGATTCATTTAACGACCACCATGTTTGCTTTCTTTCACAATCATTTTTTATTTTATTCAGAAAGTTAAAATACAAATTCCAAAAAAGAAAAAAGAAATTTTACAAAAAGAGAACAAAATTAGACATTAAAAATGTGCCTTAGAAAACACACAAGATAAAAATACACACACACACAGACACACACACACACACACATATATATATGTTTTCGTAGATTTTCACGGGTACAGGTATGCAGGTCTTGGCGTGTTCGGGCCTTTTCCCATGTAAGATTGAAAGTACCTTGGCAACGTTTCAACAAGGTCCCATTCGCCATCTTCAGGCCTATGCTTTCGGCTTCATACTTGTGCGAGCAAAGCGTGATCGGAGCTGCCGTCTCCCTATATATACTGGTGGGGAGGTTGGCTGTGTTGTCATTTCTTGATTGATTGATGGAGTTGATGTTTGCAGATTGGCTGGCTTTTTCGTAAGAACATGTGTGGCTGAGGTATTGGCTTTGTGTCCATCAGCCTCCTGTGTTGTAACAACCTGGGTAATGAGCTGTGTGATGACCTTCTGAGTTCTATTGTTTTGACATCCTGGGTCTTGTGCTGTAATCTCCTGGGTCATAATGACCTGGGTCATGGGCTGTGTGATGACCTTCTGAGTTCTATTGTTGTGATATCCTGGGTCTAGGAAGTTACACCACAAAACCTCAGGATGTTGCAACACAGCCAATGACCCAGGAGATTATAGCACAAGACCCAGGATGTCAAAACAATAGAACTCAGAAAGTCATCACACAGCCCATTACCCTGGTTGTTACAGCACAGGAGGTTGATAGACACACAGCCAATACCTCATGTTCTTAGCCAGCCAATCTGCAAACATCAACTCCATAAACCAATCAAGAAATGACAACACAGCCAACCTCCCCACCGGTATATATAGGGAGATGGCAGCTCCGAACACACTTTGCTCGCACAAGCACAAAGCCGAAAGCACTAGCCTGAAGATGGCGAGTGGGACCTCGTCGAAACGTTGCCAAGATACTCTCAATCTTACATAGGAAAAGACCCAAACATGCCAAGACCTGCATACATATATATACATATTGTGCCCCCCCCCCCCAGTTGAACACTGATAAGTATATTGCAGCAGTAAGTTTCCCCTCCTTGCAAAGCTTGCCTGTAATTTATTTTATACATCAATTTGCAACCAATTTAAGCTGTCATCTATCTAGTATATATAAGAAAAAAGTAATTAACAAGTAAACAGTTAAACTTCAAAGACCTTTGTTAACAATCTATTATTATATTTAACTCATAGAAAGCCTACAGCTGCTTATCAACCACAGATCACTGCAGTCATTATCTCTGATTTCGTCCATTTTGATTGATGTCATCTTTGTTTGATTCTTAATAATGAAACCTTTCCTTAAAATTTTGTCTAGGACCTTTCCCAACAATCATTTCCACTTGGAGAATGGGTTAATTATGTTTAACCAAAAATGCAATTGACAAGAGATGCTGTGTTTTTATTTACAGAGAAACTTTCTGAACCATGGGAATGCCATGTTTGCTAATGGTCACATTTGTTTAATGACCATTGCAAAAAATATTGTAAAATTGAAACTGGTCACATGGTGACCTGCTTTATGATCATCATACCTTACCATCATAATTTCCATGCTCAGTTAGTCATAAAATGGGGGCTACCTGTTTTATCCAGCATATAGACTGAATAAATAAAGGAAGAGTCTATAGCCTTGTCTCATCATTTGCCAACCTGGAGCCAGTCTGTTTCACCATGTTCTATCCATTCTGTGGCTTTCTGACCTTACATTTGTTTTTCATGAGGACAATGAAATGTCCTGGGAATCCCATTTTCTGAGCATATTCCACAGCTTGGTATGGTTGGCACAATCAAATACCTTTTTATAATCACATATTGGATTCTTTTTGATATTCTTTAGCTTTCTCAATTATCCGGAGTGCATCAGCAATAAGGTTGCATGTTCCTCTTCCTTCTCTAAAACATCTGGCATTTCTTTTTCTTCACATGGAGCTCTAATTTGGGTTGGATATTCTAAGCATTATTTTTCTAGCTTGTGAAATTAAGATTGTATAATAGTGTGCATAATCTTTTAAGTCTCCCTTTTGATGTTGTAATATAGATTCATCACTTCCAATTTCTTAGCTATGTATCATTCTGTAATTTTGCAAAATACTTTAGTTAGAACCTTTACTTTTGTTGCCTGCCATATTCCTATATCCTATAGCCTTATGACTTAGTAATGACTAAAGTGCTGATCTCACTTCATCTTCTAGTACTAGATGTTCTTGTAAGTAGGGAATAACTACTAAGTTATATTGGATGTTATTGTCCAAACCCAAAAATGACACAGTGAAATCCAATCAAGTCCAGTCCTTTATTTGCTTGTACCTCATCCACAGAATCTTGTCAAAATAAAGCTGCAACCTTCTAACCTACTAGATATATTCTGAGATATTCTAGAAGGTGGCTACCCTAAACTTGCCTTCTCCATCCATTTTGGGACTGCACAGTGTCTTAATTTTGACCTTTCTCTAATGATATTTAATACTGCCTACTCCCTGAAAAAGGTATGTGTTGCCAAAACTTTTATCCACTAATTCTAATGCACATTCCCTCACAGATGTTGGCAGTTATATTGTACAGTATTTCAGTATATTCCTTCCATCTTTGATCTCCTTTTAATTTGTTATTGTTGATTGGTGTTCTTTAACATACCATATTGAGATTGAAATCTTCTAGGTTTAGACATCTCCATCTTTAATTTCTTTACAAGTGTTATTTTAATACCGCTTCTTGTCTCTTCTGACAGTTCTCTGAAACTTTGTAAAGTTTCTTCCTGAGATTTTATCTTTCTTAGTTTAGTTACTCTTCCTCTTGCTAATTGCAAATTTGTTCTGATATCTATAGTTTGCTTTCTTCTGTTGATCCATCTGTGACAATCCCTTTTCACATTCATTCTTCTTTCAGTTCATTTCCCAAGTCTTTGGTTTTCTAATGAAGCTCAGGACTTCAAAGAAATTCCTATTATTTTCCTTGAAAATGATTAGTGTAGTTTTACCACATGTTGTGGAAACTGGTTGGCTTTTTTCTTTCTTAATATGAGTTTTTGTGATCTGTTCCACAGTAAGTTCCTGTTCATGTCTTTGATGCTATAGTTGAGCTCCACCTTCTTTTAGTAATAATATAGTCAATTTGACTTCTGTATTCTCCATCTAGAGTGGTTGTATACAGAAAAATTGTTTTGGTTGTTTGAAGACAGTATTAACTATGAAGAAGTAATTGTAATATCTAAAATTAATAAGTCAGTGTCATGTTTTTTAATTTCATAAGCCATACAGCCCAACTTAATAAGCCAATTATACCCTTTTATTTAATATTTCTAACTTTGGCTTTCCACCTTTTGATTGGGTGTTCTGTCAATTTCAAATTGAACTTGATCATAAAACTCATTGGCCACCTCTTGTTCTGCATGAATATTTGGAGCATAAAGTTGAAGGATCATCATAGTAAAGGGCTGCCCCTAAATTCTGGTTTATAGCATTTGGCCATTGATTGCATTGTAGCCAAGTATTGTTCTTGCTATATTTTTCCTAGCTATAAAAACAATGTCACTTTGTTTTTAATATCCTGAGTAATAAATAGCATAACCTTCTGACTGAAAGTGTCCAATCCTAGACTCTATTAATTGATGCCTAAGATGTCAATTTCATTTCATCTTTGATTGTATGATCTTGAGGAATGAGGGGAAGAGATTCTGCCTAGAAAACAATTATAAAAGAGAGGCAGGATTCCAAGGACTTGATGGTCAGAGAAAGAAAATTAAGGAAAATTAAGGAACTAATGGACCCAGCAGTTAGTGGTGGGAAATTTCTACTTTCAGACTTGCAAATAGACAAGATTCTGTTAATGTAATCTTACAATAAAGTAGATTCTATTAATGTAGCCTTACAATAAAGTAGAATTAGCTCATCTAGTCATATTTCCTGCCTGGTTTTCCTAGGAGGGCTGATATTCACTGAGTTTAGCTTTTCGATATTCATGCTTCATATGTTCATGTTCACAAAGTAATTCTGACTTTGCAGCTTCTGATTTTTTTTTCCTGTATGGCAACATTGGGAAGTCAGTGTCCCAAAGGCTTTAATCTAGCCATATTATAAACACCATTAGTATTCTGAAATTTCCTTGGCTGTTCCTAAGTAGCATGTTGAATGTAATCTGACCTGAGGGGCACATCATTTGGCATTATATCATTTTATATTTTATATTCATGTGGTTTTCCTGATAAAAATACAGAGGTGGGTTTACAATTACCACGGTATGAATTGATACTTTTGCCATTGCACTGAAGTGATCATCTGCCTTCAGCTTCTTCCTATATAACTGCTGCCTGATAGCGAATTTCATGCCTTGGGTGATGCTGTTGGAAATATATATTCTAAACTCTGTGGAACTTATTCTGAAAATGGATAAAATGAACTGATGATTTCTCGATTTACTGATTAAGAAGGGGTAAATATGGGAAGAAGGGAACTAGAATATAATTATAAAGGGGAGAAATAATAAAGTAATAAAGAAAATTAGAAGAAACATCATTTTTTTCTTTATCTGTAATATTTTCTTTATCTGCACTTTTTCATTTTTACTCTCTTAATATACACTTATTCATGTTTTAATTATGTAAAAGCTCTAAAGAATAAACAAACTCTTTCCCCCTTTCTTCATCCACTCTTTCCCTTCCATGATAATGAGCCAGGTTAGCTGGAATTGAGGGGGGGAGGGGAGATTGAACCATAAGCAGAAGAAATGAGCTGATATTGCACAACATACTAAGCCCACTATTCCCCCACCAACCAACTAATCAATGAGAGTTACAATAAAGCTTAGCATGTTGTACATATATATAGCTGCTAGGTTTTTAACTGATCTGATTAAACATGTTGAATGATGCACCGTCAAATTCTCTTTAAAGAGCCAGGAAGGATTCCCTTCTAGCTGATGAGGAAATTTGCATTAGTAAGTTTCATTGGATTTATTACCAGATTTTGGTAAGCTTCAGACTTGGCACCTCATATTTTAATTCAATTCACCTCTTCCTTGTCTCATGCAGATTCTGAGGGTCTTGGGATCAGTATTATTGGAATGGGGGCTGGAGCTGATATGGGTCTAGAAAAGCTTGGCATATTTGTCAAGACTGTGACAGAAGGAGGAGCAGCTCATCGAGATGGCAGGTCAGTAGGACTGATATTACATTGGGAATTAAGCTTATCTTGGAACAAGGATTTACCAAAATAAGAACTCTTATTTATTGATCATAGTCAATCTCTGTTTGCGGTAGAAGAGATGGTTAAAATTCTAGATTTCTTCGTTGTTTTCTGTGAAAAGGTATATATCTTTTCCTCCCTAAAAGCTTAGGATCATAAGATACATCTACATGAGATTAAAAACTCACCTCCCATATATTATATTTGCAAGTGTCAATGTAGCATTCGGTTAACATGATACCAGAGTGAAATTCAAAATTTTCTCTTTGACAGATAGTAAAAAATCATACCAACCCTAATTGAGGAATATTAGGCTTTCTTTTTCCAACTAGGATTCATTTTTGGCAGTTTTCCCTCAAAGGCTGAAAAGGGAAACCCATAAAAATAAGCTTCCCTTTTATTATGTCTATATGAGTCTCCCTTTTTATTCTGCTACTCTGCAGGCAAAACATTTCAGGTGCTGGGGATATTCTTATAACCTGAATATAAGCGCTAAGAATTTTATAGAGTGATTTACTCAGAAATAGAGTTCATTAAGTTTAGCACGAGTTAAGCTTTAATCCTCTGCTCATTTGCATAAGATCAGTCAGTGGGACTTATGTCTGAATAAGCACATAGAATTATGTTCTATGTTGTAATAAATTGCCAAGTTTAAGACTACTACCTTAGTTTGTGTGTAATATTTCTAATGAAGTACATGGAAGCTAGCATAAAAAGCAGTAGTTGCTTCTAAGATTAGAAGAAGCTTTTACTCAGTTTCTTCTATTTTACAGGTAGTCCTCAACTTACGACCACAATTGAACCTAAAATTTATGTTAAATTGTTTTGCTCCATTTTATTACCTTTCTTGACATAGTTATTAATTGCAGTTGTTAAATTAGTAGCACAGTTGTTAAATGAATCTGACTTTCCTATTGATTTTGAGCATCAGAAGATTGTAAGAAATGATCACATGACCCCAATACACACTATAACTGGAATAAATATAAGCTGGTTGTCAAGAATCTGAATTTTGATCACATGGCCATGGGGATGTTTGGAAGTTTGAAAAATGGTCATGTCATTTTTTTTTTAGTGTCATTGTAACTTTGGTCATTAACCCAGCTGTTGTAAGTCGAGGACTATCTGTATATGCACATTATAGCACTAGGAGAAGTAGCTGAAAAGGTGACAGGCTTTGATTTATATTGGCCTTTTTGACATGTCATTCCAGTCCTTTTAAAAAAAATAAGTTTATTAATTAAGCATAGGATTAATTTCCTTTTAATCAATATCAGTTACGGCTGTTTCCCTCCATATATACACATGCAAATATCACTGCAGAACATGAAACATTAGGAATGTGGTTTAGATTTGGAAAAGATGCTCTGGAAAGCGCAAAAGTCCAGATATAGAATCTCTTTATAGTTAGAAGAGCTTAAGCATTAAAAGAGCTGAAGCAAAGCAGCCCTATAAAATGTAATAAGAGGTTATATTTGCCACTTGGAACAGCAGGCAAGAGTGCCAACCTCCAAGTAATTTAGTTATCAAGTAACTACATTTCACATAGCAAACCAAGAGATGTTTCTCATCTCTCTCCATACATTGGTAGAAAAATCATGGGAAATTTAGTAATTTTTAGATATGATTCTCATTTATCATGGACAAAAGTACATAGTGGTAACTAATAAATTGAATGTGATCAGTGTGGATCATATGGGGAACTCCTTAGAATGTTATTTAAAAATCCAGATTGCATAGAAATACCATCAGATGTGGTCCTGCAAAGCGATCTAGGCAGGGGTAGGATTCTACCAGTTCGCACCTATTCGCTAGAACCGGTTGTTAACATTCTAAGCAGTTCGGAGAACCGGTTGTTAGAAGAAATTACTGGCCTAATCCTGTAAGGAAGGCAGGAAGGAAACATTCTGGTGTTGCTTACAGAAGCTGCCTCTCCGTTAACCCTTATTACATTCTTGGCAGGACTAGACTTCCTAGACTTCTCTGGAGTTTTTTTTCCTCCTTTGCTGATACTTTGCTTGTGTGGAGTGACCATTCAAAGTTACAATGGCACTGAAAAAAGTGACTTATGATTGTTTTTCACACTTACAACTGTTGCAGCATCCTCACAGTCATGAGAGGCCAGGCAAGGAGATGTGAGTGATATTGAGTTGGCCACACCCAGCCAAAAACATGACCACCAAGCCATGTCCACCCAGTCACATGACCACCAAGCCACACCCACCAACTAAGCCATACCCACAGAACCGGTTGTTAAAAATTTGAATCCCACCCCTGGATCTAGGTCATTTATTTATTATTTGTTATATTTTATAGGAGAAACTGTATTTAAGCCATCTGTGTTCCCATCCTCATAACAGATCATGGACATGTTAAAAACAAATTATAAATGGAAACAGTGTAATGCAACAAAAGGCAGCCTTTGTTCCTAAGTTATTGTTAAGAAGGCTAGCTTACATTTTATATTGCAGCTGTAGCTTCAGCAGCTCATTTTCCACTGCAAACAGTCCTTGGAGGATGCAGTTGCATTAGAAAAAAAATGCTTTAACCCTTCACCTGGCAGTTGATTTGCTCTTGAAAATCTTGTCCAAATACTTTTCATTGACAATATTTTAGTTCCAATCACATTGTAAACCATCTGGAATCCCCATGGATGGAAAGACCAAAGGGAATATTCAGCAAGGAAGTAGCAGGCCGAAGAAGGATTAAACACTTTTTTTGCCCCCATCCCCATTCCCAATGTCTAAACTCAAATTGTCCTTTATCAAAGTAGTAGTGGAAAAAAGAAGGAATTATTACATATGATTTTGATGTAATATGTAACTTGCCTCTAAAACTTGTTCTCACTCTCAGGGATTAAAATTTGAAACTTCAGAATCAAAAATTGTATTGGGGGAATTTAAATTTCTAATGTTGCTAATTCTCTAAAAGTTAAAGAACATTTTTTTTAATTATTCTGCAGTATTTTAATTTGCTAAGGCTTAGTTATCAGGGCTGTAAATCAGGTGGGGAGCTTATGGTATTCTAAGTGTAAAAGAATTTCTATCAGTCAATGGTGAGAGATTGAAGCTTAAATCCAACATTTTGAGACCTATCAGTCATTCATTCCTGCTATCTATGTTTTTGTGTTATGAAATCTAAGTGCTCTTGCTGTGCTCATTACACAATTTTTGAATTTCTATCCACTGCTGTACTCATTTTATTTAATTGCTATATTTTAAGCTTATAGAGCAAGGGTGTCAAACACAAGACCCACGGTCCATCCTAGAAAACATAAGGGGCCGGCCCATGTCGCTTTGGCCTGGTCTACCCAATGCGAAAAGGAAACACCGGGTCAATTTAGCTTCGGCCTGGTCTACTTAGTGTGAAGAGGAAACATGCCAGCAGTGGTTCAAGCTAGCCATGCCCACCCAGTTGGCCACACTCACCCAGTCGGTCACATCCATTTGGCCTCCCTGAGGTCAACCACAATGATGATGTGGACCTCAGTGAAATTGAGTTTGACACCCCTGTTATAGAGGATTATACACTTCGTTCATCCAAAATAATCTAATGTAACATTATTATTTGTTGACAGTTGTAAATAGGAATTAAAGTGCTTAAGGAAGAAAGAAAAAAAGTACCAGAATCAACTTCAGATATATATAACTGAGTGGTAAATTATTTGAATTCAAATAGAAGAGAATATTTGTAGTATAAGTTTGAACTATGGCATTCTTGGTGTTCTCTGAGCTGGGTTGTTTGTTTCATTGCCCAACAAGAGCATAAGACATGCGTGAGCCAGGGGCATCCATAACAATGGATGAAGTGTGATGATCCCAGCACAAACGAAATGTCACCTCTTTTCTAAGTGTCTATGATGTAATGTTCATGTATGAAAAGAGTTAAATTTAATATGCTACTATGGCTGCCATCTTCAGGTTTTTTGATACAGACATGAACCCTGCACGTGTGGTGGGTTGGGCTGGACAGCATAGAACATATGTTTTTCAGAATGTTGGCCATTTTCCAAAACAATGACTACAGATTATTCTCAAATTAAAATAGTTAATTTTAGCTAATAGTTAAGGAGAGGAATTATCAAAGAAACTATTTAGTTGCTAGCTTTTCATTCCATTGCAATCATTAGTTCTTTTTATGGGGGCATCTTCAATCCATCATTTCCCTCCCAGAAGTTATGAACTTACACATCTCATAGAAATGCCAATTAAATGCAAGATTCTCGTACAAACATCAAAACTTCAATGCTTGCAAGGTTGTGATAAGCACCTGAACTCCAGTATTTGCAGGATTGTAAGAAGTTTATTTTTGTTTTTTAAACAGAATGCTCATCAGATAGTCTAAATACTTATGGACAACAAATATATTTCTAAGTTTCCATGTGCTTTGTTTATTTTAGGAGGAAAAAAAACAATAAAAATACTACAAAATACAACAGAAGAAAATGGATTAAATGAAGACATAGTTGAGGAAATAATAGTAGCAATAATAAAAGTAATTGTACAGTACAGCAAGAAAAAAAAGAGGTAGTTTCACCAAATACAGTAGTCCAGCACCATTCCTATTTTCCTTTTCACAGAATGTAGAGTTGAAAAGAACTATGTCATTATCATCAAAAATACGGCTGAATAAGGAAATAACTATGTTAGTTTTTTATGTAGTATTTCAGAACATGATAAAAAAATTATCAGTGAACTTTTCTTTCTATGAGTCTTTTAGAAGGAAGGTCAAGCTGATCATTGTATAAACATTTTCAGTGATAAAAGAAGTCATCTAGTCTTCTTTTGTGTGCCCTGTAGTTGCAACTGTTGCTATATATTAACCTAATTGAGATTGACTTTGAGAAGCAATCATTGAGATGCCCTAGAGCTTACCTTTAAGGATTGTTTTGGATTGTTTGAACTGCCTTGGTTTTACACATATTATACCATTATTCTTCATGTACTTCATTTACCCAGGGTGAAGCATTGTGAAGGGATAGAATATAAAATGGATTCAATGTACTTTTAAAGGTCTTATTAGTCTCCTAAGTGATTGACCTCTGAATTTGGCAGACCATTCATTTAAATAAAGAAGGAATGCTATCTCTTTGCAGAACTGGAATGCTTCATTGTTGCCTGTGTATTTTCATGGAACTGAACTATTCAGAAAGGAAGATAGGATGGGAGAGAAAAGCAGCCCTGGTACTAAATGCCAGCAGAGCTCCTGCATGCTGTCATGGCAACCAATATGGCTCCTTGCCCAGTACCAGAACACCAGAAAAATATAAACAGAGGCCTTCATGGGTGAAAGCCCAGTAGAATCTCAGAAATTGCTCTGCACATTGTACCCACTAAAGATCCTTTGTGCATTTTCTTTTCTACCTGATGTTCCTTTTAATTTTACAAACATTACAAGTTTTCTTCAGAATCTATCAAAGGTTATTCCAGTAGAATTTTTATCCTTGGCCTGTTCCCAGAGTGATACAAATAAAAATAACATTGCAGGTCCTTTCACTGTCACAAACTTGTATAGAAAGAAGTGGATACTTTAGTGGATGAAATTTGGATGGAAGAGTCCAAAATTCACATTCCCAATTAGCCGTGAAGTTTATTGTGTAGTGCTGAAGAAAACCAAATTGCAGTCTAAGCCAGATGAAGCTAAAGATAACATTCAACCCTTTAAATATAGGTAATCCCAACATAATGACTGTTCAATGTTACAATGAACTTGAAAAAAGGTATGATTCATGCTTGGTTAGAACTGCTACATACAACTAGCCCACACAATCTCCATGGTCATGTGATTACATTTTTGGGTATTTGGCAGTCGGCTCACATTTATGACCTGTGGTTGCGTGATCACAAATTTGCCACACGTTTTGCTATTTTCTAGCAAAAAAAAAAGCCCATTTGGGAGAATGGATCTGCTTAATCATGTGATTTACTTAATGACTGTGATGGCTCACTTTATGACCATCATAAAAAAGTAACAAAAACAAGTGACATGGCGATCCACTTAATGACTACAATGACTTACAATGGAAATTCGAGGCGTAATTGTGGTTTTTAAATAAATGCTATCTGAATTAAAAAGGCCTGTTGTAATTATTGATAAATGTAATGCCAAAAATAAGCCATCTTCTTCCATTTCTCCCGAAATGCGAATATAATCACCACTTTTAATATGAATGATAGCTTTTTAAAATTATAAACTTGATAAAAATGATGATGTTTGTTCATGACTGAGTTCATAAGCTTGACATACTTTGGTTTCACATTTGACTTTGCAGTAATGCAGTTAGACAGATGATTTATTTCTAACTTTTTCTTTTTCCTTTTTCCCTTTCTTTCTTAGGATCCAGGTGAATGATCTTATCGTTGAGGTGGATGGCACCAGTTTGGTGGGCGTGACTCAAAGCTTTGCAGCCTCTGTGTTGAGGAATACCAAGGGTAGAGTCCGGTAGGGGAACAATGTGCAGCCTAGTTTTCTGGTGGGATCAGAATATGTAGCTAATTTATCTGTGTAAAAAATACAGAAAAGGAAACATATGATCTCATTGAGAGTTGTACTGCAGCATAGGAAAAAGTTCTATAAGCAGTTATTTTTGTTTCCTGTGTTACCATTGTAGAAGTAAAAGGGCCAATGATAGGTTTTCCTGCCAGCCGTGGTTTTGCTTCTTCTGTTTATATGTCAATCAGATAGATAATATTGGCTTAGCAAATTTATTACATCATGGGGCAGCCAAGAGGCCGTAGTCTTAATGGTTTTAAACAATACATTTGGCTTTTATTTGCTGTCAATAGAACCTTTATTTGCAAATCAAGAACAATGGAGACACATAGATATTCACATGAAGAATAGCATGAATCAGATAAGGATAAAGATTCCCTTTATTGCAGTATTTTTTACTGATCAGACAAAAGAGAGAAAAAGAGCTGGATGCTTAGATGTGTTTATGGCAGAGTTTATATCTTTCATCCTGGCAGGACAGAAAGATTTTAGCTATTTCCTATCAGACCACAAATTCAACTATTGGATGTGCAGTGGTAGAATCTCACTGAATTAAGTGATGTATCACTTTTTTAAAAACACAAGCTTTTTTATTGCAGTGTTTTGAAATAGAAACAAAAGCACTTATGCTGAAGGTGCAAATGAAGCTTAGTAACTATAATCCTTCCTCATCATGGAAATCTAGTGCTGAATATTTTCCTGTTACCCCCAATTGAAGGCCAACATTATATACATCAACATATTACAGTACTACATTACATATATTATATTCCACTATTACATATTACAGCAAATTCTCAGTCAGTGTTTGAATTTGATAGCATTACTAAGTATAGTCCTTGTCAGCATTCCAAGTAACAACTCCAAGAAAAAAGACTCATTTCCTCAAAGTTCCATTTTATTAGAGATATCATATTGGCACATCTTGGAAAACCCGAATCTGAGAGTTCTGGGTTCTTCTCCACCCAAAAGAAAGTCAAGAATCCATGCCCTGCACCCACAAGTCCATCACATGGTCCAATTATCTCTTCATCCCAACTGGAGACTACCCCCAGTCACTCCCTTTCAGGTGCAGGGCAATCGTCCTTGATTCCCAGAGAAAGGAATATTGTTGTGGCTGATCTTCCATCGCTCCTTAAAATCCCTCCTCCCGCTTTCCCAGGCACTAAATGTGGCAGACTCGAAGCTCCAAAAGAAAAAATGGCTTCCAAGGCTGACAGTCCTGGTCAGGTGCATTTTTAAAATGTAATTATTGTTTATTAAGAGAACATTATAGAATCATGACAGCTTTTTAATTTCTATTTTATCTCTTGCCCTCACTCCATCATGGTTACCCTTTTCTTCTTCAAAAACCTACAGTCCATCTGGTTAAAAAAAAGCAAATGGGAGAAATAGAGGGCACTGATACTGCTGGATTTTAGAGCATAGGCGAAAGAGGAAAAATCATCTCACGCCCACCAGATTGATCATGATGAAGTTTGTGAATTTCTTCTGTGGGTATATGTGCACACTTTCTCTATGTAGATAGATAGATAGATAGATAGATAGATAGATAGATAGATAGATAGATAGATAGATAGATAGATAGATAGACAGACAGACAGACAGACAGACAGACAGACAGACGCATAGAATCCAAACAATTGTGATCAGAACTGGAAGGGAAAATTAGGTAGAAGTGTTAAGTTTTGTTTTTAAAAATACCTCTTTAGGGAAATGGTTTATGAAATAGACATTTTGTTTAATGAAATTGGCAAGAACCCTTGCTTGGCAATGTTGCCCAGTTGGGATTGGGTTCATTTTATAGAAACTGTAGCACAACACTCACTATCTCAGAATAGGAATCTTTGCATCATAGAGAAGTGTGCCAAATCAGGGCTGTTTTATTTTCTAAGAAATGAATCAAGAATTTTGAATGGACTCGGAGGGGAGAAATGATATTGAGCTTTGCGTTCGCTGCATTTTCCTGTCAGCTGTGTTTCTATCTGTCCTTTATCCATACAGCTGCCTCTGTGGCCTTTTTAAAATCTCACCAGAGGCATTTGGCCTGCCTTTTCCCGGCAGTATTAAGAATTCAAGGCTTGGCATTAGCCCAGCATCCTTGTAATGTTGATTTTAAAAGAATGAGCTTCTTGAAAATGGTATGTCACCAAACACATCTAGCACAAGCAGACACAGATGATGAGTGATTACAGAAGGCACTTTCTATCAGAAGGCCTGTACAATATAGGGACTCAGACCTAGAACTCAGTCCATTACTCCGAGATTTACGTGCTGCTCTGTTCCCAAGCGACAGGAACTTCAACTATGAGAATGGGTTGCTAGGCAACTAGTTTCTTCCATATTGCATAGCACCCATTCTCCTTTGCAGGCAAGAGACTGTGTTACCCAATGAAGTATTTGATGATCAATTTAATTGTTGTACTGACACAATTTAGCCACAATTTTCTGTTTTGTTTTGTTTTTTAAATTGCACAGTTCCACAAAATCAAAAATTCTGCCTAGAGGTTAATTTGTGAAAGCAGAAAGGGTGGGGGACATTTTTATAAGTCTGATAGTAATTTCCTGTAATCTGGAAGTCTGATGCAACTATGCTGGGAATCTTGTGTCTTTATGGAGTTGTTCAGACCTTCATTCTGTATGTGTTCAGAGGCCTTCAGCTTTGTTCTCCCAATTCTGAGCCTTGAATAACAGAATAATACAGTTGGAAGGGACTTTGGAGGTCTTCTAATCCAACCCCCTGCTCAGCCAAGAAACCTGGCTGTCCAAATGGTTGTCCAATCTCTTCTTAAAAACCTCAAGTGTTGGGAGAGCCCACAATGTCTGCAGGTAAGTCATTTCACTAATTCATTGTTCTAACTATCCGAAAATTTCTCCTTAGTCCTGAGTTGGTTCTCTCCTTGATTAGTTTCAATCCATTACTTCTTCTCTTCTCTTCAGATACTTGAAGAATAGGTTGACACCACCCCCCCTCTTGTGTTGCGTCTTGTGTTGCCTATTGGAACACTGCTATCATGTCACTTTTAGTCCTTTTTTTTCATTAAACTAGACATACCCAGTTCCTGCAACTATTCTTTATATGTTTTTGTCTGCAGTCATCTTTATTACTCTTCTCTGTATTTTTTCTAAAGTCCCAACATCTTTTTTATACCTGGCAACCAAAACTGGATGCAATATCCCAAGGGTGGTCTTACCGAGCTAAAGTGGTACTAACATTTTATGTCATCTTGATTCTATCTCTCTGTTAATGAAACCTAGGACTGTGTTGGCTTTTTTAGCAGTTGTAGCAGACTGCTGGGTCATATTTAAGTGGTTGTCCAGTAGGACTCCAGGATCTCTCCTGCAATTACTACAATTAAGCCAGATACCACCTATTCTATATCTGTGCATTGGTCTTTTTTGTTTAAATGTGGAACCTTACTTTTCTCATCATTAAATTTCATTTTATTAAATAGGGTTCAGTGTTCAAATCTGTCAAGATCCTTCTGGATCTTAAGCCTATTTTCTGGAATGTTGGCTATTCCTGTCAGCTTGGTGTTGTCTGCAAATTTGATAAGTTCCCCTTCAATCTCCTCATCTAAATCATTGATGAAGATATTGAAGAGTACTAGACCTAAAACAGGGGTACCTCACTACTTACTTATTTCCATGTAGATGTAGTTCCATTAAGGATTGCACATTGACTGTGGTTGGTCAGACAGTTATGAATCCATCTGTTGGTGATGCTGTTTAACCTACATTTTTCTTGCTTATAAAGAAATAGGTTGTAAATACCTTATTGAAGTCCAATTAAACAATATATTCACTAATATTGTCAAAGAATGCAATAAGATTTGTCTGGCATGATCAGTTTTTGACAATATGTTAGCTTCTGATTATGACATTGTTTGCCTCTAAATGTTCAGAAATTCATTGCTTGATTATCTTTTTTGGAATCTTTCCAGGTATTGAAGTCAGGCTGATAGGTTTGCAGTTTCTTGGATCCATTTTTTTCCTTTTTTGAAGATGGGAATGTTATCAGTCCATCTTGAAAATTAGCATTAAGGATAGCTATGCTAGACCTAAGTCAAATTAAGGTCAGGCTTGAAAACTATGCTGCTTTCTGCCTATCTATTTCTGGGACACCCAGGATTTATCTTGTTTTTGAGTAACTCAACTTCTTTGAACTATATTTATGTTGGAATCTACCTCTCCTGATGTTATTCCTATTGGTGAGAAAAGAGAGGCATCTCTATTTTTCTCCAAGATTAACAGAAATGGTAATGCTATTTGAAGAGGCATACTAGTAAAGAAGAATGAACAATTCCTCATCCACATATGGTGGTAATCTAATTAAGAAAGCCTGGTAGCTGATTTTAAAAACTTAAGGAAAAAATCTGATCTCATATACCTGAATATTAAAACAATTTATTTTGGTTCTGAGAATCCTCTGATGTTGTGTCCATTTAGTACTGCAATCCATCAGTAATAAGCCGCCCATACTTAGGATTTTTGCTTTATTTGCATTCTCTGGGTACTGCAATCATATCCCCCAAGTTTCCTCAGCAAATCATCGAACAGTGGCAGCACAGTTCCCCTATTTTCAGCCAGAAGCAAAGGAACACTTATGTCATAAGCTTCAGATAAATTTAACATACCTAGAACAAGCTCTTCCTTGAATGATTGTGGAGTAGGGAGGTTTCAAGCCTGACCCCACACATTCCAGTGAATTTCCTGTTTTCACATAAGTTAATATTTGAAAGGAGAGTTTTTTCAGACTGAAATTAGCTTGCCCAATTCTTGATGTAAACTGTTTCAGCATTACCTTTGTGTGAAAATAGGAAATGTAGTTTTCTTGTATGTATTGCTTCCTTTATTCCAAGAATTATTTGAACTACTCATTAGTTCTTTACTACCTTTGCTACCTGTATCTATTATGGTCTTTTGTTGCAAAGAAAAAAAATACAAAGCAGGCTACTAAATGTTAACTTCCTCTGAATTAGTAGGAGAAAGTAGTGCTAGTGTGTGTTAGTCTTTGCTGCTTGTCATTTGCTGTGATTGAAGCATTTAGTGTAGAAATAAACAGATCTGTACATATTTATTCAAGAGCTAGAATACCTTTCATTTCACTGTAGATCAATAGTTAGAGATTGAGATATATAGCCTGATTATCTAATTCCAGATATGTTATTGGACCGGGATTTCTCTTATTACATTAATGCCATGCATTCATTCTATTCATTTTAATTTCCTTTAGGTTCCTCATTGGCAGGGAGAAGCCAGGAGAGCAGAGTGAAGTGGCGCAACTGATCCAGCAGACCCTGGAACAGGAACGATGGCAGCGAGAAATGATGGAACAGAGGTATACCCAGTATACAGAGGAGGACGAAGAAGTAAGTATAATCGATTCCTCTTTGCCTGTGGGGAGGACAGGAAAGTAGTAGAGCTCCAACCTTAAATTCAGGGAAGCTGAATAGCTGTTAATATTTGTGAACACCATTTAGCTATCATAATGAAACTACGCTTTGACTAAATTTGGAGTACTCATGAATTTCCTTAGACCCCCATTTTTTTCTTTATAACTGGTGGAGGTCCTGTGTCTTCTTGGTATCTTTTTTTCTGTGCAACCTATTACTATATTAGCACCTCACACTGAAACTGTAGTTATCCAAAACATTTAAACATGTTAATAGTAAAGTTTCTGTATTTTGCTTAATAAAATTGGCACAGAAAGAGCTGAAACAAGCTGAATGTCCTAGTTTCATATAATGAATCATTTCAAAAGAGAATTATAAGTAAGAGATGTACAAATTTCAGATTGAAATTAGTTTGCTCATTTCTTTTGTGCAAATAATTCCAGTTTTACCCCTGCTTGAAAACAGGAAGTAATTTTCTTGAACTTATACTTACTTCCTGAATTTTAAGTAATCATATAAAGTAATCCTTAGTTCTGTACTTAGTGTGCTGTCAGGGTGAACATCAGAATGCCTAATGATAAAACCTGTTTTTTGTTATTTGCAGACAGGAGAATATGCTACAGATGAAGATGAAGAGATGAGCCCCATGTTCCCCAACAATGAGATGGCTATTGAGGTTTTTGAATTGGCTGAAAATGAAGACATGCTGTCTCCAGTGGAGATGGATCCCGAAAAGCTAGTGCATAAATTTAAGGAGGTATATGACTTTCTAAAGTGGAGGGTGGGTGGGAAGATAGCTGAAATTTACAACTTAAGTTAAATGTATGTATAGCAACACTAGCACTAGGTCTGGATTTAAAAATAAAACTTGTCGAGGAGTGGCTGGATAGGAAAGAAGGGGGGGACTTAGATCTCATTGCAAAGAATATTAGCAACAATTTGGTAATACACTGACAGGATGTAGTGAAACCACTTCCTCCATTCTTACTCTGATTAGAGAAATAAGATAACCCACAGTTGTTCATTCTTAGATCAGTTAAGTTAATTAGTTCAGGAAACTATTTTATTAACTCTAAAATACATTTTGACTTAAGCCAGTAATACTTTTTCCCCAAAATAATTTTTTTGTAAGTATAAAACTTACTCTCCAAAAATAATATTGAATTTTAAATGATCTCCTTTTCACTTAAAAGCTAGACTAAGGCCAAGTTAATCAACCTCTACTACAGTACTCTCAGGGAAGTTTTTTATTTTTTTATTTATCATATTTTGGATGTGACAATCACAGAGGGACTGTCAATTGCCTACATTAAATTATTAAAACATAGAAACAATATATAAAAGTTTAAAAAAGATAAGGGTGATTGAAAACAATATTAAAAATTAATTAAAAGGTGTAGAGAAGGCTTTCAGGGTACTAAGCAGTCCCACAGTTGCATGCTCCTCCTCTGCAGTCTCCAAGCAAGGCCACAGAACCATGCTATTTCTAACCGTAGAAACCAACCTTTCCCAACCTGGTGCTCACCATATTGTGAAGCCCTGGAGAGGATGAATTCCCAACCCACCTGAAATGCACTAGGCTAGGAAAGGCAATAAGACAACCTTAAAATGCCTTTCACTTCTTCTGTAAAGCCGATCTTAAATTTGGATTCTGAACTCCATATTTCTATTGGGATCACCTGGTTTTCATGATGGGTTGAGTAAAAGGAAAGAGTTGTTTTCTGGAGGTTTTCAGAACTCCCAAAAAATGACAGCATACTACAGCAAACAAGCTGTAATATCAAAAGCAAACATGTGAAGAAGAAAAAGACAAGGAAAACATTGTTGATAGTGATGCATGAGATGAGAAGTAAGTAGATCTAATAGAATTAGAAAGCGTAATTTAAATCATGGCATGTAACTGCCTGATTTAGTACAGCAGCCTAAATTGTCTCTGATAGACTGCAGCCTAACTTCCATATGCAACAATCCCAATCTGACTTTCTGTACCTTAACTCCAGTATTCTGAAGCAAAAAAATAACATGATGGTTTCATGTGTGACATTCTTTCAGGTATTTGAACAATTCTACAGCATCTCTCTCTCAACCATCTTTCTCGAAGTTTCTAGTTCTTGAATCTCTCTTCATAGTTTTTTTTTTTTGTCCTCTAATCACCCTTGTGGGGTTTTCTGATTTCCTAAGCTATGATGTCCCAAACAGGGTTAGTACTCAAGGTCAAATCACAAATATTTCTTGTGATTTAGAAAATTTACCTCCAATGCATCTTGGAATTGCATTGCTTTTTTTCAAGCCACTGCAGATTCATACTCAGTTTGTAGCTAACTATATCCTAAGTTTTTTTTCACAAGTACCAAGCCAGGTATCCCTTTTTATATGCCTTGCACTTAAGGTTTGAATCCATTAAATTTAACATTGTTATTTTGAGCCTATTTCTCTAAATTGTTTCCAATTGTATTTCTTCTTACAATTTCTTCTTACAGTATCTGTTTTCACACCCAGTTTTGTCATTTATACATCTAATATGGAGATTATTTGCTAAGGGAGGATTTTCCTGCAATATGTTTTATTTATTCATTGAATTTACATCCTGTCTTTTAAGTATTATTGCTACCTCCTCATCCAAGTCATTAATAAAAATATTAGAAAATTCAGGATTATCCCCTTAATGCTTCTCTCCAATTCAATGCAGAATCTTTTTTGAATAAGATTTCAAAGTCAACAGTATATAATTTTCCTGTTACACATATTTCTTAATCAGCATGTCTCTGCTGAAGTTAAAATAGGTTATGTCTATAGCATTTCAAAATTTATTAAGGAAATTGCCCAATTAAAAAGGAGATAAGATTAGTAATGCAAAATCTGTTCTTAACAAATCCATGCTGATTTCTATTAATCACCACATTGTCTTTGAAACATCTACCTCTAAATTCTTCCCAGGCATCAATATTAGACAATATTAGCCTGAAGTTCCCTGCATCATTATGGGCAGGGACAGTATTTGCCCTTTTCCTATCTTCTAGTACTTTACCAGTTTTTCAGGATTTCTTTAAGATAATACGTAACTAATCAAGTGGCTCATCAGGCAGTTATTTCATTAGCTTAAGATGCAATTAACTTGCTCCTTGTTGAATTTCAAGGAATATATGTCTCTTTGGCCCTATTTCCATTTGAACCCACCCGCAGCCTGAACATTTCCTGTCAGCAACTTTTTTTCTTCATATGATTTTGTTCATTTGGTCTCCAGTCCACAATGGGGCAGTCTTAAATTGCTCTTAGCTATATAGGTAGAGCTCAGATTATGTACAGTTGTTTAAAATATCATTCAAAATTACAACATAATTTATAAATCCATTCTTTAAGTTACGGCTGCCGTACCATCTCCATTATGATCACATTTCAGCGCTTGGGAAGAGACTTGCATTTATGTTCGGTTGCAGCATCCCTTGGTCACAGGATTGCGTTGTGCAACTTTTTCCCATTTTTCAGCAAAAAACTTTGCAAAAACATCCCTTAGATAATCTGGATTTGGATTTACGAACATGTGATTCACTTATAAAAATACTCATAAAATCAAATTTGGCCATTCACTTGAATTACAACCACAATAAATCACTTCCAAAATTCTAGGTTCAATTGAGATTGACTTTTTCCTTCTTAATCTGTTATACCTTGCTACCCATTGCATTGAATATAGTCGGGATCAGTAATGGATAGATTAGAGAGGTATTTTATATTCCATATCAGGCTGTTACCAGCATACCCAATAATATCTGAGCATAAACAATTTATCTGCTGCCATTCTTCTTTCCTAAAGAACTGGTCAAAACAGTACGGTGCCTTTGGTCCTTTTTGCAGGATTTATGCAGGAGCAGTAGAGCTGAAATTGGGGGGAGAGAGAAGGAAGTACTTCTGCATGTCTCTTGCACACCTGCTCTTGGACCTATAAATTGTTTTCAGTCACAATTATCTATTTACTTGTGTGGGACAACCAGGCATGTAGATATTACCAACGTACAAAGGTAGAAATCAGCAGCTGGATGATGTAAACAGCTGTCTATCAGAATTGTACAATAACACTAGCAGTGTCATAAGTGGTTTAACTCTGTGATCCTTAATGATTTAGTGCAATGCTGAAATAGCATAACACCCACCTCTATTGCTACTTCCACAGAACATGACAGCATTTGGAAATTGACATTTGTTACCTTTATAAAAAAGGAGAAGGTGCTATCTTGTGATTCAGATTATTTTATGATTGATCTTTTGTTATTAAATCCAGTTTGAATTTAACTCAGATTATGACAGAAGATGGTAGAAGAAGAGGAGCAAAGGAAAGAGCCTACTGATGACAAATGGTATCTTGTAGCTAGACTACTTCCATTTCCGCTGAAGTATTCTGATTGGTAGTTTTGTTTTTTTCTGCTGGCAATGGGGGGGGGGGGGGCAGCAAAATGAATGGACTTAATAAATTGCTTTATCTGTCAGGCACTACACACATATAACTAGAATAGCTCCATTCAGAAGGGGTCAGAATAGAAGTACTAGTGACATGGTAAAGTCATAATGATAGTCTTAACCCGCTTTTGGGGATGAAGTATAAAATATAACACTTCAGGCAGATTTTATTTTCTTCTTAGTTCCACTCTTCAGAGTAGAACTATCCCCCTATCTCTGGGGTCCTTGGTTGTTTTCTTACAGATATTTTATTGCCTAACCAGTAACATCTTCAATGTTAGCAATTAATCTCAGAGAGCATCAAGGAATCCAATCCTAAATTACAAATATTCTTTACAGTTGGTACCAGGACATATGAATTATGCTGCAGTCTTAATAAAACTATATTTTCTTCATCTCTACAAAGACCAAGAATCATGCATTCTCCCATGAGCTGTGAAGAGCATCCAGAAGTGGGAGGTGCTTCAGTCTCTTCTGGAAAGGCTGGGGTTGAAACTCCGGGACGCTCCTCCTCCTCCACGGAACACCTCCTCAGCGTCCCCCAGTTTTATCTCAGCCTTCGTTGTGCACTCCCTGGCTGGAACGGTTTTCTGATTCAGGTTTGCTCTTGGGTCATTTCAGCTTTTAAAATTCTTCATCATTTAATTTGGCTTTTTCTGCCTTGTCCCTCTATTAGGTTACCTCGATTAGTTCAAAAAAAAAAAAAACCATTTCCTTTGTAAATAGCAGAGCCTGTCACTCAGGCAATTCTCTTATCTAACTTTCCAATCGCTTTCTCTGCGATTGGAGTGGAGCACTCGCAACCACGGCTCAGTTCGCATTGTCATTTCATTCTGACAGCAGCATTTAACTTGCAAGTTAGAGCCTCAGCCCCAGCGGCTCATTTGATGGCTCAGACATTAGCAACGGTGATTCTGCTTCCCGCCCTTTTCAACGGCTGGTTCAACTTCGCGCCTAATTATCACAGGCGCCATTCCTCACTGGTTTCCCTTGCTGGGGACCGAGGCAGTACCTTTCCACTTTGTTCTCCCTGGGTTTAGCTCTCCCTTGTCTGGCTAACATTGGAAAAGCAGGCTAGTCATTAAACAGGCATTTCTTTGCAATTGCCTTTGGATCGTTTCTGCGGACTGAAACTGCAAGTGCCATTTAAATTGCGGGATGTTTGGATTTGACAGGAAAGGATTCCCTCAGAGCCTGTATAGCTTGTTTCCCTTGTTGGGGACCAGGGATTCAGAGTTTTTCTCGCTTGGAGCACTTGGGGGTTTCCCTTGTTGGGGACCCTTAGATACTGTTTACCATATA